ATTTAACTCAATAATCTGGAGATTTCCTGAAGGGTATAAGCAAACAGAACTCAAGAAAATTCATAAATTTGCAATGAAGTCTGAGACTAAAAGGAAAGAAAAGATATTAAAGATGTTGAATATAGCTCTCCTTCCCCAATGTGCTGTAGTTGATAAGGCAACTTATGCAAAAGTATAATAAACATCTTCTCCAGAGAGTTTCTGTATCAATTTTCCTGACTGACTATGGGTAACGTTGGCAAGCCATACAAAGATAGTGTTGATCCCAGTGCTCACTGATTCTAGCCAAAAGGGACAAATAAAATCAGGTTCCCAGGAAGCAAACATCACTCAAAAAACTCAGCACTGCCTTTCATTACTGTCATCTGTAAGCATTCAAACAGTATCACTGTTGCACTGCGTTCCAAATGAATCTCAAATATGATGATTAAATGTGCTAGCTGGAGCCTACTCAAGTTTAAGATTAAAAAGAGAAGCTGACCATGGTGCTGAACAGCTCAATTCTCAATCATGCTTTTCTCTGCTTCAGTTAGGCACACCAAATTCCCTAGTCTGATAAAAGACTTTCATAATTTAAACCATACAAAAATGAAGCTTTTACCAAACTCAGCTATATATCATATATCTATCTTTCTTCAGACCTCTATTTTTAAAACATGGATCTAAGGAACTATAATTTCATTCTTGTTTCTCCTTAGGTCATGTAGTGTTGCAACTAATTATCTTACAAAACTTTTTCATCACTTTCTCTGCCTGCTTTGTTTCCTGAAGTGGGCAGGGGGGTCACACTGGATCAAGTTTTTGTCTCAAAGTAGTGGCAAAGTGATCTAGAGGTGGGGGATATTAGTATTTGTTCCTTCTAATAAATGGATCATTTTTTTATTCTTCTGAAGTTCTCTGTACCCAGTACCATAACAGGGAGGTAGAATTCATTTGATTGGTCAACCTCAGGCATCTGGGGATTTCAGAGAATGCTTGGGAAAGTTCTTGTACTTCATGCACAATTCAACTGAAGCCTTAGTCACCATTGAAATAAGAGTTGGTGATGTCCCTAGATCAGATCACAGTTGCATGGCCTCTCTCTGCACATGGGTCCTAGAAAGTCTCCTGATTTTCAGAGATACTTTGGGAGATGAAGCAGCAGAAGACACATACAAGGTATTGCTGTTGAAAGATGAAGAGCAAACATGGGTAAGAGCCCTTATCAAGGGATACATCTTGGTGACAAGAGTAGCAAGGCACAGCTATTTTTTCTCTCTTATTGCATCCAGATTGCAGTTCAGCAGCTTTGTTTAAATTGATCCAATCCCTCTTAGGGAGGGGTAGGTCAGAAACCATCTATATGTGCTATGAAGAATATTTGAGGCATTTGTTGGATAAAGTAGCTTGGATTCCTTCTGAGTTGGACTTCAGCTGTGCAGGTCTGGTTGAGTTGATTGAGGTATGGTGTAGTCTATTGGCTCCAAGGAAGTGAACAGAGTCCTCACAGCTGTTAATGTGTCCTTTCTGGTTGATGAATGCCTTCTGGAAGTGACATGTGGGTCAGTCCAAATGGTGGTAAATATAACCTTTGGGCGGGGGTTCCAACTGCACTTAAGGAAGTGATGGTCTCCCCTTCCCCAAGACAGACAATGGAGTTGGATAATATCCAAGCCATTTCCAATCTACTCTTTCTGGTGACAGTTGCTGCAAAGGTGGTTGGCCTGCAACTTCAGAGGGCTCTAGAGGAAGTAGATGACCTGGACCTCTTTCAGTCAAATTTCAGACATAGGCACAGTACTAAAACAGCCTTGATTGTATCTGTTAATGACCTATGGTCTGGAGACTGTGTATCTGGATAGGGGAAACAGGTTCAAGCTCAATCCTTGCAAGACTGAGTGGCTGTGGATTTGAGGGCCACAAGGATTCAGGGAATTTCTGCCTTTGGTTCTAGATGGGGTTGTGAAACCCCAGAAAGACCTGGTGCACAAATTGAGGGTCCTCCTGGAATTATGGCTCTTGCTTGAAGAGCACATGGCAGCTGTGCCTCAGACGGCCTTTGCACAAATCCATCTAGTGCCAACTGTGACCATTCCTGAATCAGGAAGTCCTATTTACAGTCATTCATGCCTTAATCACCTTTTGTCTGGATTACTGCAATGTGCTGTACATGGCACTGCTCCTGAAGACCATTCAGAAGATACAGTTGGTCCAGAATGTGACAATGCAAGTAGTTATCTGCCTATGTAACACTGCAACTCTGTGAACTGTACTGGTTACCAGTATGCTTCAGGGTGTGATTCAAGGTTGTGCCCTATAAAACTCTTCATGGGACATGACCTGGTTATTTTCAGGGCTGCCTGTCTCTGAATTGTTGTTTAGTCGTTAGGTCGTGTCCGACTCTTCGTGACCCCATG